CAGCAGGACGTCAGACAAGTGTTGGTGGGCAGCTAACGTGAACAAGCAGGAAGGGAAAAAGGAAGCACATGGAAAGCAGAAGGGGGAACAGGCTGCCCTGAAGGAGTAGACATTGCTTGAGTGTGCAGGGATGGAGTTGGGAGAACCAAAGCTCAGCTGGAGCTGGACTTGGAGAAGCATATGAAGGACAAAAAGAGCAGCTTTGTATTAAGAAGGGCTTCAGCAGCAGGAAGGCTTTGGGAAGATGCAGGCCTGCTCCTTAATGGAGCAAAGGGCTTAATGGCAAGGGACGTAGAAAAGACCAAAGTGCCCGGTGCTGCTCTCGCCTTGATGTTGACTTGTGAGGTCTGTCTTCAGCCTTCCCAGGGCCCAAGCCTAATGGCAGAGTCTGAGGGAAACATCTGAAGGTGCTGAGGAAACCAGCTAATGTCATCACACTCTCAGCTTTGAAAAGTCCTGGTGGTCTGGGGATGTTCTTGACACCTGGAAAAAGGCAGATGTCTCACCTATCTTCACAAAGGGCAAGACGGAACTACCCCATTACGTTCTTCAAGAAGGTGGCTGGCTGTGTGGACAAGGGGAGAGCAGAGAACGCTCATCTGGACTTCAGCAGGGCTTTTGACACCTCTCCTGTAGCCTCCTATGGTAGCAGAATTGAAGACGTGGGGGCTGGAGAAGAGGATTGTTGGGTGTGTGGAAAACTGGCTGGGCCACCCATGTTCAGCGTAGTGAGCAGTACAATGTCTAACTGATGCTGGTTGTTTGTGTTCCTTGGGGATCACTTGTAGGGCCAAATAGTCCCATCTTGGCTTCCCAGTGTATGAAACCAGTGAGAGGCTGGTGCAAGCCTGACAGAGGCCGCCAAGATAGATTCCACTGCAGCACAAGACAGGCAAGGAGAGGCCGTGGGAGACTGGTGTGACCAGCCTGGAGGAGACAAAGCAAGGGGAGACCTTACTGCTGTCTGCAAATAGCTGATGGGAGGGTGTGTAAAAGAAGGAGCCAAACCCTTTTAGGAGGTGCCACAGTGAGAGGGCAAGAGGCAATGGAGACGAACTGGAGCAGAGGAAACTCCAGCTTGAATTCAGGGAGACCTTTCTCCCCCTAAGTGTGGTCAAACGTTGCCCAGAGGGGCTGTGGGGTCTCCATCCTTGGAGATGTTCCCATCTCAGCTGGGCATGGCCCTGAGCAGCCTAACTGGCCCAGTCTAGAGCAGAGGGTTGGACCCAGAGGTGGTCATCAGCTGACACCACTCCAGTCTGCAGTGGTCGAGAGCCATGGAGGAAGCTGTCACTGCGAGAGCGGACAGGATGTGGTCACCAGGAGGGCACCTGGGTGTCTGTGTCAGCACAGGAGTATCTGGGTGGTGGGGAGGAGCTGTGGGAAAGGATCGTGTTCTGGAGCAGGGGTAAAGAGCTTCTACTTACCCCCAGAGCACAGTAAGGGCTTCAGCTCCCCAACGGTGATCTAGGGATGGGTAAGAGCACCAGGACCTCTTTCTGGGAAGATCCTGGTACTCTAGGATAGAGCTGAAAATGCCTAGCCCCTGTGCTCTGCAGGGGAAGACAAAGGAGGTGGGATGCTGTGGACATCCTGACATACCTGGGCTTGCACAACAGGCAGGGAACGCTTGTGCACATGGATGTCTTCCTCTGCCCCCCTGCTACGATAGATGATCTGATGCTCAGCGTGTTCCAGCATGTGGGACCCAGTATTTTGGGGAATGAACTTGGGATATGGCTTGCCTGGAGCTCCTTTGTGCTTCTAAGTTTCAATAGAAGCCATCTTCTGATGGGTGCAATGGGATAGCTGCTCTATGTGTCCTGAATATCCTTATATGACAAAGCTGGGACCTGGTGCTCTTCTTGAGAAGTGCAGATACCAGTAGCCTCATCTCCTGTCATCCTGGAAAAGCCATAGATCCAGCTAGGTCTGTCATTGGCGGACGCTGTCTCTGTTGGGCGGTGAATACCCTGTGCCCTTCCTCTTCCTGCTGCTCATCTGCCTGCTGACGTAGCTCAGGAGGCTTGAGGAAGTGCTGGGGAAGAGGTTGGTCCTTGTCCTGAGCCATGTTCTCCCCAGCCACCTCCTTGAGAAGAGCTGATGTGTGTTGTGGTTTGGCTCTATAGAGACGCTGTCCCTGCAGAGACATGTCTTCCCGCCTTTGCTTTCACACTGAAGGTTGTTTCAGAAATTCTGCAGCCCCGGGTGCATGAGAGCAACATCGCCCAGCCCTTCCAGGGATCACCTTCTCCTGAGTTATTTCACCTCTGAGAAAACTCCTCTGGGAGCCCTTGATTGGCATATTGCAGGTCAGGCAGCCTGGAGCTTGGTGGGGCAGTTTAGGGGGACAAGGCTGCTGGCTGAGAGCAGTTCTGCTGGTTCCCTCAACACCTTCTCCTGAGTCTTGTGTAGGGCTGGCTGAGCCACCACTGAGAAATACTGGGTCCAGCAAAGTCCTGCAGCACTGCATGGGGCACAGGGCAGCTTTCTGCTCCTTCCTAGAGCACTTCTAACTTTTTTCCTAGCCCACAGCCTTCCCTGGGGAGCAGAATGGTTGATGTGCTCATTCCTGTTGCTCCAAGGAGGCCACCTAGCTTCTGCCTCTCATCCTTGCTTTGGGACAGCTCTTGTCATTTTGGCATGACACCTGGGGCGTTTCTGCTATGGAGAAGCCCTGCTTGCAGCACCCTGCAGTGGGTACCAGCACCCATCCTCTGCAGAAGCACCCTACAGTGGCCACTGGTGCCCATCCTCTCAGAAGCACCGTGCAGTGGGCATCAGCACCCATCCCCCTTAACTCCCCTTGCAGACGCCCAGTGCAAGGTGATGGGGCTGGGCTGACCTCCCAATGCTGGAAAGGGTAGAGCTGCCCTCTTCATGCTCACCAGCTATCTTCTGGCAGAAATATGTCCCCATGAACCACCTCACGGGGGGCTGCAGGACAGGGAGTGATCACAGACCCTCAATTCTTGAAGACTGGAGCCATGGGGAGGTGATGCTGCTCTTGGCTGGGAGGCACCGGTGGGGTGTCCTGCTCATCCAGATGAAGCCATGCGGGAGGAGAAGGGCTGGGCAGGGATGCCCTCTCCTCCTGACGGGGCCGGTGGGCCGTGGGTGCCGTCGCTTTCATTTCACTTCTCTCATTCAGGCGGTAAATCTTGCCTGACGGGGCAGGAAGAGGCACCAAGCGCTGGGAGGGGGAGGAGGTGCTGAGGTGGCGGTGCTGCCGGTTGGTAGCCTCAGCGCTTCCTCCCAGCAGGGTGCCTTTCCTGCAGCGCCCAGGGATGCTGCCTTGATACCCACATCCTCAGGCGGGTGACCCCCACCTCCCAGCCATGGCTGCGTCCCCTGGAGGGATCCCCACCGAGCTGCAAGGTAAGCATTGCCCACTGCCGGGGCACTGATGCCACATGGAAAGCGCCGGTATGGGGCCTGCTCGGCCCCGATTTGCTGTGCTAGGGGTTGGCAGAGCTGTTTTCAGGGTCTTCAGCAGCAGCAGCTGTGGTTCAGGGGGGTCTAAGCAGGGTCTGGTGCGTGAGGGCTGCTCTTGCCCCCAGAAGTCACATGCTTGAGGATGCTGCTGGGGCCAAAAGCATCCTCAGAGAACAGGCTGGATTCTCAAGGATGTGGTTTTCCATATGCCCTCTCTGTGGGTGCAGCCTGGTGCTGCTCACTCCCATGAGCTTGGGTTCCCCCGGCCAGCTGGGGGTCCCCAGCAGCTCCCCAGGGAGGCATGGTGCACAGCCCTGCCCCAGCTCCCCAGCAGCACAGGGGATGTGGGAAGTGCTGCTGCTCCCAGCCTTCCCTCGTTTGATTGAAAAAACAAAAGGTCATGGATGTCTTGGTGTCCTGCAGCCTTACCACCCCCACCGAGGCTTGCAGTGAGGTGGGAAGGAGCTGGGTCGCTGCATTCTTCACTGTGAGGTTGGTGAGGCACTGGCACAGGTTACCCAGAGAAGCTGTTGCTGCCCCCTCCCTGGAGGTGTTCAAGGCCAGGTTGGATGGAGCTTGGAGCAACCTGGTCTAGTGGAAGGGGTCCCCGCCCATCGCAGGGGGGTGGAACTAGATGACCTTTAAGGTCCTTTCCAACCCAAAACATTCTGATTCCTGCAGCCCCAGGTCCCAGCTCTACCTGTGTGGGTCCCTGAGGATGTGTGGCTCAAGCCCACTGTACTGAAGGGGCTTGGTGTCACTGAAAACCCGGTTTGATTTTCATGGCGATGGACAGTTGTGGTTCTGGTCCCGTTTCTCCAAGCAAGAGGTGTGAATCAGGGGAGGCAGCATGGGGAGGTGATGACTAAGGCAGGAGGCAGCAAGCAGGAGCGATGCTCGTGCTGGTCCACAATGACTGTGGGAGCGACTGGTTTGCAAACATGGGGAGGCTGGCATGCATGACCACCTGTGCATGTCATGGCCAGGAGAGTTCCCTTAAAAAATGCAGAAGCAGAATACATCTCTGGCTGCACAGTGGGGAGACAGGACTTGGGTGCCGTGTTGCTCCCAGTGAGTAAGGCAGCACATGCAGCTTAAACCAGTGACCCCAAAGCCCTGTGTTTGGTCGAAGCTGCAGCCCGGGCCGCAGAAGCTGATGTGGAGGTTGGTTTATCACCCGAGCAGCAAACAAGACCCAAAGCTGGCAAAGAAGCATGTGGCTTGGCTGAGTGAGCAACCAGGGTCTGACCATTGCATGTGGATGGAGAGGAGTTGATTCAGGCAGGAACATGGGGGATGGTGTCCCCAAGGGCAGCAGGGCACGCAGGAGAGGACCGGAGTGTCTTCAGCCACCTCACTTCATGTGGACATTGGTCTTTTCAGAGGGCATCACCGCCTTTCTGGGGACAAAGAAGGTCCTCCTGGTGATGAGCATCCAGCTGCATGTGAAATCGAAGTATGATGACTACATCTTGGTACGTGCAGAGTCCAGCCTCGTTCCTCCTTTCACAGTTTCCCCAGGCAGCTGTTTCATGGCTGCAGTGGGGGACAGGGGTGGCTCCCATGTCACAGCAGTCCCTTGTCACACCGATGTCCCCCTGTCTAGGTGCTGACGCCCTGGCGAGCCTACGTGTTGCTGGTGATGCTGCCGGTGAGGGTAAGTGCTGGGGACCCTGTACCATGGTAAAGCCTTGTGGCTTCCAGGAGGGTATTGCTCAGCTGCCTGGGGCACCGGGGTGGGTGACCTGTGGGTAGCCTGGGCCACTGGGCCTAGGAAGCCCCTGGGAGCAGGATGAAGGAGGAGGATGGGCTGAAGGGGAGGGGGTTTGGGCCAAGGGGCTGGTCAAGGCTGGGGAGCATGGACAGGCACTGCCTGGGGTGTGGGGAAGAGTGGGAGCCAGGGGGCATCCTTGGGTCCCCCTTCTCTGTCAGCACTAGGGCTGATCCTGCTCCTCTCACCTACAGGTTCACAGCAGCTTCAGCTTTCTGGAGGTGAGGGAGATGACGGTGCAAGAGCCTAGCTTGGTAAGTGACATCAACACCCAGAGCAAACTCAGCCTGGGCACCCACCCCACCTTGTGCCCACCTCCCCCCATGTCAAAATCTGGCCCAGACCCCACCATGGGGTCTGGGGGTGTCCTGGCCCCCCGTAGCACACTGGTGGTCACCAGCGATGACCTGTGAGAGCTCCACAGCGTATTTTATCCATTCGCCACCTCTAAAGAAACACTCTGTGGCCTCACCCAGGGTATCACCCTTAGGGCTGGAGGTGCAGGGAGGCACCCAGGGGTGCTGGGGGCAAGCGTGGGTGCCTGCGCCTCTGCCCCTCCGGCAGCTGCAGACAGCGCCTGGCTGTGGCACCTCCCGCTCGACAGGGACAAGGTGACAAATGGCTGCTGGCTTACCGAGGCAAAGCCAAATTTAGCAGGAGGGTGTTTTAAACCCTGTTAATCCTCTTAGAGGAAGGCGTTCATGTAGAGCAGATGCAGTGGGTGGGAACCATGGAGGAGAGGAATGGGACACCCTGGCTTGGATGGGTGGGGGAAACAGGGCCGTGGTCTTTGTTAACCCCTTCTCTGTCTTTTGCTTGTTAAAGCATTATCAGCCATAATGGTTCCAGCCTCTAAATAGGGTTTCTGCTGCTCAGCAGGCTGCATGGCTTGGAGAAATAAAGAGGAGCTGGGCAGAAAGTGAGGTGTGCTGGGGGTTGAAACCGCAGGGTGGAGTAGCGTGAGGCATCTGACCAGGATATGGAAAGCACAGGGGTTATTAATCTGTAGGCAGAGTGCAGGCAGGGCCAGGCCCACTGCCTCCCTCAGCCCCAGGCACCAGCAGAAGCGCTGTCCTTGCGCGATGCCAGCAGATAATTGTCATCTCGCTCCCACGCCTCAATCAGCGTGTAATTAAATCAGGGAGTGTGTTGCCATGGGATTTTTTTTTTTTTTTTTTTTTCTTGTAGAAACTGAAAGCTAAAAAAGCCTCAAAACCTGATTAGATAAATTCAGGGAGGAAACCTGCATCCTCCAACTGTGGCTGCTGCAGGCAGAGTCAAGGCTACCCTCGCCCCCACTGGTTTGGGCTGCTTTTCATTAGCTTGGCATGAATTTTAGGGAGGTTTATGCCTTTTTCAGGCACATTACAATCTCTTTACTGTATTTTATCCTAAATTCCTTGTGCTTGGAGCCTTCCCTGTGCCCACGGTGCTCTGGCTGGGTTTATAAGCAGCGACTGGGTGTTTACAGTGAGGAGCCAAGGGCTGTCACCACCATGTCTGGGGGCTTGGGGACGCTGTGTGCTGCCAGCTTGCTCAGGCATCTCCCACCCTTTGGACCCTGCAGGTTGTCATAGAAACGGATGCATCATCTTACGCCTTCCGGTTCATGTCCTTTGATGATCTGGAGCAAGTTGTCATCCATGTCACCATGTCACTTAAGAAGGTCTTTCCAGACTCATCCCCTGGGTAAGGGTCTTGTGCTCCTCAGGGGTAGTTGTGTAGGTACCAGAGCAACCTCTTAGCTCAGAAAAGCCCCGAATATGGGATAGATTCACAATTAGTGCCTTTTAACATGAGAAAACCACACTAATGGAGGCCAGATCCTGCTTCCTGATTACATCAGGAAGAATATTTCTGGCGACCCTACGCACAAGGGTTGTGGTTAAGCATAAAGTGGTGGGGATGCTCTTCTCCCAGCCCACTGCCACACACCCCTCTGGTCCTTCCCCAGGACGCTGCTCAAGAACTCCCCCCGCAACCTATACGAGAGGATCCGGCGGATCACAGACTCGCTGGAGGAAATGCTCCAGAGCAGCCCCGGGCCCTGTGGTAAGCCCTTTTTTCCCCCTACATAGCTACCTCAGGCAAGACTGGGAGGGTTGAAGCACTCTGGGGACCATCACAGCCCAGAGTCCATCAACACTAGCTCTGCTTGCAGGGGGCCCATGGTGGCTTAGGTCAGAAGGAGCGCTGCTAGTGGGGGCTGCTTTCCACCAGCCCACTCCATCCCATGGGGCAGGAGCAGGTTTGAGGGGATGGAGTTCCCCAGAAAGGAGCAGGACAGCTGTAGGGCAAGGATGCTCAGTGTCCACCTATGGGGATGTGCAGTTGTGGATGCTTCCACCCACCTCATACGGCATCGCTGCAGAGCCAAGGACTTTTCCTGTAGCCTGATTTGGAGTAGGATATCTCCATTACCATCATAGCAATGTACCTTGCCTGTTATCTACGTGGATCAAGCAAAGCAAACTGCAGCCCTCTGAGTTGTGCAATCACTTTTGGTCTGGCAGTAGACCACGTAGGACACTCAAGCCACTTTAAGGAGGGAAGGGAGAGCCCCCATCATCCGTCTCCTGCTTTCTGCCCTCTCCAAAGGTCTTCTCCATGTTACTGTGAGAAGGTCTGCCACCAAGACCGCCTTCTCTTTGCAGGGGGGTTTTCAGAGACCTACGCTGCTTTATGCGATTACAACGGCTTTGCCTTCCGCGAGGAGATCCAGTGGGTAAGCTGGTCTGTCCCATGGAAAAGAGACATTGACAGCGTGCCACTTGGCAGGCAGGGAAGCAGGATGCTTATAGGGCTGCTGGGGTTGGGAGCATCCCAGGGACATCCTGGAGCTGGGAACTGCAGTTTTGCCTGGCTTGAATGCCCCCTGCTCCTTGGTGGGGTGGAATCAAAGTGCAGGTGGGGATGAGATGCCTTGGACCAAGTTGTTTCCCAGACTGTCACCTAAGGAGAGCCCCTGGAAATCTGGGACCTTGCTGGGTGTCCCTAGTAGAGGAGAACCCGGCTGAGACCCAGACACAGCAGGGCTGGCTGTCCCCAGCTTCTTCTGGGACACTGGCTCCAGCCCACCTCTCCCCACACCCTCATTGCCATCAGCCTGGGGAAGCACTGCTGCCTTCTGGCCAGTGTCTGCAGAAGTTGTCTAAGACCCACCAAGCTGTCCGACCAATTTGGGATGTGTGCCCTGCCAGCCACAGCACCAGGGGAGATTTTTAGGCCCAGGGTTTAGGCAATGGGCTCCCCAGGGGAGGGTCTCTGAGGGCTTGGCTTGCTCTGGTAGTGCCAGGCACCTGAGCCCTCCCCAGGACAAGGTGCTGAGCCTGATTCATGTGTCCATCTGTCCGGGCAGGATGTAGATAACATCTACCACAGCCAAGATTGCCGGGAGTTCAACCTGATGGATTTCAGCCACCTGGAGAGCCGGTGAGTCCCGCAGCCTTGCTGTCTGTGGTGCCCTGTGCCACACCAGCACTTGTTCTCATCCTCCCCTACATGGCAGGAATGGCCCAACACACTCCTCTGCCCTTGTTAGAAGCTTTTATCATTTTACACGCTCCAAGGATGTCACATCTGCAGGGTGATGCTCCCCCTCAGCAAACAATGAGCCTTGTCCCATGGGGTGACAGCCTCGAGAGGCCGGGCAAGCTCCCCTGTTCATTTTTAACACTTAAATAAGCCTCTGAGCTGCTTACAGAGGTGAAACCCAAATGTCACGGCAGCTTCTGGCAGCTCGTGGCTGTCAGGTATTTCCCTATGCAAAGCAGCTGACGCTGCTCCCCCTTGTATGTACAAAAATGTATAACAAATAGCTGTTACAGGGTTATAACCTCAAGGCAGGGCCATGAGCTCTGGCTGTGCCCAGAGTCATCCCAACAGGGCTCAGCCATGTCTTCATCCCAAGAAAGATGGAGCTAGGGTTCAGCTGAAAATTGTTTCTAGTCAAGCAAAACCCATGTTTTTCTGTACATGAGTTCAGAATTGAAAAAAACACAGAAGTTTCGACAGAAGCATGCAAATATTGATTACATTTGTTTTCCCTGAGGAGACAACCTGGGGAAGCTGAGCTGTGTTTGTGCGTTGCTTTAAACTCATGGGCCTCAGTTCTGCTCCATTGAACACTGTGTTGGGGTGACCTGAGATTCAAGTGTCTTGGCACATCCTGGGGGTGGGTGTGTTGGGGCACCCATTTGGGACCAGGCTTGGCTCAGCCTGGCCCCTGACTCCCTCGTCCTTGTCACCCTGCAGAGATGTGGCTCTGAGTGTTGCTGCCTTGTCCTTCAACCTGTGGTTCACCAAGCTCTCCTGCAAGGACTTCAGGCTGGTGAGTGCTGGTGCTGCAGTGCTGGGAGTACTGGAGGTGGATGGGTTTCCAGAAAGGCTTTCTTCTCCCCTGCCAGACCCAGGAGATTTCGGAGCAGCTGCTCTACATGCTCAGCAAATCGGTGAAGCTGGAGGAGCTGGTGCTGGAAAACAGCGGGTTGAAAGCGTAAGCAGAGGCATCACAGGGCCCTGGCGAGGTGATAAGCAGGGTCTCAGCAGCCTGGTGGTGCTCCCCTTGTGTTCATGGAGCAGGGAGGTCCATAGACCCATGTACCAAGGGGGTGTTGGTGCCCCGTCCCCTTCACAGCATGAAGCTCACTGGGAGCAGAGACTCCCTGTAGCCTGGAGGCCAGTGAACATCACCCACCCTTAGAGACGCTCTGCTTTCTCCTGCTGGCTCCTCAGATGGAGCCAGCTCTGCCATGTGGACAGGAACTGGTGTCACGTCCCCGCAAGGCTACGGGGTTGGTGGCCATGTGTCCTGGCAGTGGCCATGCCTCACTCAAGTGGGTGAATGTTCTCCCCACAGTGACTTTGTGCAGAGGATGGCTCAGGCGCTCAGCAACCATCCCGACTCTGTTCTGCACACCATCAGCCTTGCTGGCAACCAGCTGGAAGACAGAGGTACCCAACTTCTGGGCTGGGATGAGTTTATACCCATGAAAACTGATGTCCAACTCTGGATCCCCCCAGCAGCTGCCTCCTACCCTGGGAGCTGTAGCTCAGGGTGGGACTGACACCTGCCTGCGCTGCCATGGCTGCTCAGGGCTCTCTGCTATTTCATCAGGGATCGTTGCCTTCAGCCGGCATGTGGAGAAGAGTCCCAAGGGTCTGCAGAGCCTCAGCTTGGCCAGGACGATGCTCACTGCCAAAGGTACTACCTGGGTGCCTTTGGGAGGCTGGGCACAGTGGTGCTTGGGGCCAAGCTGGCACCAAACAGGTGGCTGGAGGGGCTGCAAGAACGCCCTGGAAAAGGCATCTTCAAGGATGCAATTTCCTGCTGCCCTATCCCCTTTCTGCTCCATGGCTCTCCCTGGTGCAGGGAACCTGCAGGCATCCATCTCTCCCCCTCTCCTCAAGCAGGGATGAGCACGTTATGCAAGGCCCTCGTAGATAACAGAGCAGTCGGATCCTCCCTCTGGCACTTGGACCTCTCTGGAAACCCTGGCACTCTGGCTGGGAACGACATCAGTGTGAGTGCCCAGGCTACGATGGGGTGACACCACCTGGGCTCTGTTCCCAGTGTAGTTTGGATGGCTTCAGTTTCCTGGGGTCTGCACCCTGCCTTGCAGCACCCCAGGAACAGGGACGTCGCCTCTCTGCGACACCTCCCTGCCTACCTGGGAGCAGCTGGGGGATGCACTGGGGACTTCTCCCTGCATCGCCTTGCAGGAGGGTGGGAGAAGCCACTTGGAGCAAGGATGTATCCCAGGAGTGAGCGGCATGGGGCTGGGTCCCTCTGTGCAGGATTTGTCCCTGTGCTCAGCAGGAGGGAGGAGGCAGGTGGAGCTGGGATTTCTGGGCTGCAGGGTGCTAGGTGGGGGTGTCAGGGTCCTGGGCAAAGCCACTGAGCCCTCTCTGCCTGCAGAACCTGCAGACCCTCCTCCGCCAGTGCCACTCGCTTTCCCACCTTATCCTGGCCGGCACGGACTGCCCTTTGGATGCTGTGAGTACCTACGCAGGGGGTCCCGGCAGCGAGGCCCTGCCCTCAGGCCCCCTCCCAAAACCATGCCATACTGCTGGGGGCTGCAGCTACCCTGTCCCAGCTGGCACAGGGCTGCAGAGACAAGGTGTGTGGGGGGCAGCAGGCAGCCAGCCCAGCAATGTCCTACTCTGTGCCCACTGCCGTGGGTATTTTTTTCAGCAGGAGAGAGAAGGGGGCCCCAGCACAGAGCAGACCCCCTTAGCACCCCTGTAGCTCATGCCATACTATGACCCATCCATCCCCTGGCTGTACATGGGGCTGCAGCACCAGCTGGGTCCACCTCAACATGGCTTACATCTCCACCTTGGCAGCTCTTTGGAGCCCTGGTCCACAGATGCCACAGCAGCCTCGTCCATCTGGATCTCTCTAAAAACGTGTACTCCCACAAGTAAGCCCCCGGGATGCCGAGGAGTGTGGTACACAGGAGGGTGGCTGGTGCTGGGTGGCAGACAATGCCACATTGTGCCTGTTCTTTTCAGGAGGGCAAAAACCATCTCCCCTGACATCAAGGAGTTTTTCAGCCAGGCCTGTGCCCTCAGGCACGTCTCCCTGGCGGGTACCAAGCTGCCAGCAGATGCTGTAAGGTGAGGTGGGGCTGTGGGTCCACAGAGGAGAATGGATGTGGGGTGAGCATGGGCAGGGAGGGACATTGCTCGAGGCTTTGCATGTTGAGAGGGCTGGTGGGGAGGATGGACAGGGCTGTGAGAGGCAGAGCTCTAGGAAGGATGTCTTTTCCAGCGTCCTGCTCCCATTGCCTGGACAGTTGGGGAATGCCTCACAGCAGGTACCAGTGCCCCCGTTGCTCACACCGATGGGTGGCTTTGGTGACTTTTCCAGGGCATTGCTGCAAGGGCTGGCAGACAACAATCACATCAGTGACCTGCGCCTGGACCTTAGCAACTGCGAGGTGAGGGGCCAGCATGCATGGGTGCCATCAGTCCAGCCAGGGAGTCCCATTGCAGCAGTCGAGGGGGCTTGCTCCTCGTGTGGGAAGGTCTGTGCCCTGTCCACCATAGGGCCGGGGTGACCTTCTCGACAGCAGGATCTCATTTGCAGGGCTCGGCGCCTCCCCTTGTACTGATGTCTTGCTGTTTCTTCCAAGCTGAGATCAGCGGGGGCCCAAGTTATCCAGGATCTCATCCCCGATGCCAGCTCCATCAGTGACCTGGACTTGTCTGACAACGGTAGGTTGCTTTTTTTCCCTGCCTGGGAGAAGATCTGCTCCATCTGTTGATCCATCCACCACAGGCTGTTTTGCCTGCCAGACCTTGTGAGCTTGTAGGAGTCCCCAGGGAGATGGGTAGGGTCCACTATGCTTCCCTGCCTCTTGACTGCACTGGCTCATGCATCATTAAACTGCACTTGTCACCTGTAGAAGTCCTTCAGCAGCAGCAGCTGCAGCACTACAGGCTGTGTCTCATGAGGATGAAGACACCCCATGGCCAGCAGTGGATTCCTGCCTGAGAAATTAACACCTCATCAAGCTTTTATCGATTTTACCCCCAAAACCAACCATCCCTCCACATTCCCCAAGGCAGGGAGTCCTTACATGTACTCTTCTTCCTGTGCTGATGTCCTTCCCAGTGTGTGAGGCCTCTTCCATCACCTTCTAGCTTTGCATCCTGTGGTAGGCAGTGGTGGTGGCCCTTGCCTCTCCCCTCAGAGAGAGCATCTCCAGCATGGGGGGTGGGGTGACTACTTCATCCCCTCCTGCCTCAGGACTTGACAAAAATTCTCTTTTCACATCCTTCTTGGTACAAGCCTCTTCAGCTCACTGAGTCCGAGACGGTCTTGCGTTGCTAGCTCAGGGTTTGAAGCATTGAAAAGGTCTCCCTGGGCTGAAACTCTTCCTGCCTCTCTGCAGGATTTTGCAGCCTCTGCTGCTAAACTTGTCCTGCTGTGGCCTCCGAAGCCGTGGGCGAGTAACCCAATTTATCACAAAGATCACCTCTAACAGCTCTTAATTTCACCTAAAAGGCCCCAAACCTTAAAGCAGCCTTGCTAAGGTCTCACAGAAAGACCATGCAGCTCCTCGACAACCAGAGGGCTCTGGGAAAGCTGATGGGGTTTGGAGTGCTTCAAAAGCCTGTTCAGGCCACCGATGCTCCAAAAGCTCACTCTCTCACCCAAAATCTCAGGCCAACCTTTGCCAAAATACGCTTCTATTTTTGGCTTTCCCAGCAGAGCAGCTCTGTACAGGAGGGATAGTCCCATAGGTGGGTCTTGTTGCCTCTTGCCCTTGTCTGGCAGAGTGGCTGGGCGAGCGAAATGCCTGCCCATGTCCCTGCCCTGTGGGAAGGACATCACCTTTGCTTGCTGAATTTCCCTGGGGATGCTGCAGCTGTGCGGATGGGAATGCAGGCAGCTGCCTGCAAGCTGTGAGAACTCCTCCCATAGTGTCCAGGGTGGTGGGTGGGTGACGGAGGGCACATCTCTGCAGGATAGCAGGAATCAAGCAATGTTTTGAGGTCCGTAAGCACTCCCCATGGCTCAGCACAGCCTTGGCACCCCAAACAGCAGGAGTCCCCAGAGTGAGTGCTCCTACCCTGGGGTAACTCCTCAGGGACCTCAGCTCTGCATAGGTCATTTGGTCTCTTTGGGGGAGCCGTGAAGAGGAGGAAGATGCTCAGGAGTTGCCCTGGGCATCTTTCCACCATCACATGGTGGCAGCTTGGTTGCCCTGCAAGTCTCCTGTGAGGGACCACCTTGGTGCCACCTCTGTGGACTGTCTGGAGCATCCTGGTTTGTGTGTCTCATCTCTCGCAGGCTTTGACCCTGATATGGTGACGCTGGTGCTCTCCATTGGCAGAAGCAAGTCCATTAGGCACGTGTCTCTGGGGAAAAACTTCAACATCAAATCCAAGTAAGTGCAAACCTGCAGCACCCAAGCCAAGAGCCATTCTGGCACCGTGCACACAACACTCTCTCCCCCTCCAAAGCCCATGGGCTAGTTGGGAATGCCAGGGATTGCCTGCCTGTCCTGCCTGATCTGACCCAGCGGGGAACCTGGGGCTGTGGGGGGACCATCACCAGCTCCTGGTGCAGTCTCTATGGGACCACAGGTGCTGCAGAGACAGGTCACAGCTTCAGGCAAGGGCAGGGGGGAGGACGGAGCTCTGCCAGCTGCCCCTGTGGCCCTGGAGGATGCCGGGAGGGGGGGCAGGGAAATGTGTGTAACCCCCACACACCTCTCCTGCAGAGAGGGGCTGTTGGATGTCCTGCACCGCATCGTCCAGCTCACCCAGGAGGATGACTGTGTAAGTCTGGCTTGGCTTGGCCTCAACTGCCCCAACCATCCCACCCGTGCTCTTGGTCACCCTCCCTGTGCTTTTGGTCACCTTCCACCGCCACCATGCAGCCTCCATGCCAGGGTGCTGTCTGGATCCCTCGCAGCATAGGCTGGAAGCAAACCTCCCTCCCTCCCACTGCCATTCAAATCTTTCTGCTCTTATTTTCCTCCGTCTGAAGCAGATGCTCAGACAGAAGCGGGAGCTGTTCCCGTTCATCTGGGAAAGCGGGAGCCTGTGTCTGGCTAAAGGCATGGAGGAAATGCTTGGTGTAACCTGGCTGCAGCCCAGCTTTCCAAAAAAACCCTCTTTCCTCCTTGCTGCCTGCAAGGCATCTGAACTAAATCCAGGGTGTTGCTTAAGCACCTGTTGCCCTCTTGTTTCTTGGGGTTCATCACTACTTGGGCTTCCCAAAACCAACACCAGGTACCCACAGCTGCTGCCAGCCCAGTGGCTGCTGGCCAGGTATGGAAGCTGTGTCTGCAGGGGTGACACACATTCTGACATGTGTCCCAGCCACCTCTTCCCTCCCCTTGTCCCCTTCCTAGCCTCTCCAGTCCCTGTCTGTGGCCGAATCACGTCTCAAGCTGGGAACCAACGTCCTGCTGAGTGCCCTGGGCAGTAACACCAGCCTCATCGCTCTGGACATCAGTGGCAATGCCATGGGGGACACAGGGGCCAAGATGCTAGCCAAGGCCCTGCAGATCAACACGAAGCTCAGGTAGCAGCAGGTCCAAGTCACCCTGTAGGTGCCCTTTCCACTTTGTGCCAGGTGGCCCTGATACAGTGGTCCTGGTTGTGACACTGATGCCATCAGAGGAGGCTTATCACGGCTCCTGGTCACCATGGATGCGGCCCTGGACCACTCCTGGTGCACAATCAGGTGCTGTGACCATATCTTGCTCCCATGGCAGTCATCTGGCAGCACTGGCAGGAGACATGTGAAGGGCAAGAGGGCAGCTCAAGCCCTGCCCCAGCACTTGCCACCTCTTTGCCAGGCTCCTGCACAGCCCGGGATGCTGCAGCTGGACCCTTGCAGTCACTGCCCTCACCCCACGCTCTGGCATCAGTTCTTAAAATGCTGGGGTTTGACCACATTTTGCCTGAAAAGGCAAGTCAAGGTTGTCTGGAGGGGACAGGGAAGGATCTCCCAGCCAGGACTCTTCCTCTGGGGGTTGTCTGTCCTTGCCAGCAGGATGGCGCCTGGCTGTGTCCTCCCTGCCCTTAACTCCCTCCAGTCACCCACTCACTTCACAGCTCCTTGCAAAGTCCAAGTTTAGGTTTTGAATATTGAGATTCAGATTTTATCCCAAATTTCTAGGCTTTCTGATGCCTGGGGTCAATCTTGGTCTCACTTTTCCTGGCACCTGGTGGGTGGTCATCCACCTCAGGGCTGCGTGGGTGCGGGCAGGGCTCACTCATGTCATTATCTTTGCAGGACCGTGGTTTGGGACAGGAACAATACAACCGCCCACGGCCTCCTGGAGGTGGCTCAGGCTTTGGAGAGGTAAGGAAGGAGCCACTTGGTCCTCCTGGCTTTCTACCACCATGCAAAAGAGCCTCTGGCACCAGGATGTCACCATCTCCAGGGCCACTTCTCCCACTGAAGCAGCAAGTGCATCCCACAGTTGCAGACAGGTCCCAAGGGAGATGATCCACAGCTCAGGCCTCGTAGCCAGCAAGGCAAGCTGCCACCCATTCAGTGGTGGCACCTTCGTTATCGACCTTAGGGTCTCCCCTGGGCTCTGCATCCCAACCCAGCACAGCCCCGTGCCACCCAAGGCAGCCCCTAGCGAGCATGGGGGTATCTGCTGTTGGTGGAGATGTGATGCTCCTCTCCTCCCTGCCCATGGAAGGTGGGTAGAAGTTGTTCACCTGCCAAGCACACCATCAGGTCTGGTGTTTGGCCATGCAGGTTCTTGGAGGTCTGAAGAAAAAGGAGTAGATTGAGACCCTGGGCAAGTGGTCGCTGCCACCCCATTGGGGTTTGCTGATGGCCAGAGTTTGGCCGTCCCCATCTCCAGGGCTCTGGACTGATGCTACGTCTGTGGGGAAATGTATGGCAGGGATGAGCCCCACGAGGCTGACAAGGGGCCCAGCAGCACCCACTCACCCCTGCTTTGCCTCGCAGGAATTACACCCTCAAGTCAATGCCCCTGCCGATGAGCGACGTGGCGCAGGCGTACCGCAGCAACCCTGAGAAAACGGAGGAGGCGGTGCACAAGGTGAGGGGACCTGGGCTGGGGTGGGACTGGGTGCCACCGACACCGGCTTCTCACGGCTTCTCGCCTGCTGCAGCTCCAGTCCTGCCTGACGAGGAACCAGCTGCGGCACACACTGCCCACGCAGACCTTCCGGCTGCAGCAGGGCATCCTCACCACCTCTTCTGAACAGGTTTGCCAGCCAAATTGCTGCACAGGGCTGCCCTCACCTACCCCAAACAACCCTGGCTAGCTTGTGTGCGCTCTTGCAAGCAGCACAAACCCCTTTTCACCTTTCCTGAGTGGAAGGCGGAGCAGTCTGGAGGGATGAGAGTGGGGCCAGGCAGAAAGGGTATCTCCAAGGAATCCTCCTGGTTGCATCTGTGTGTTTCATGCATATGCAACACTGGTATATCTCACTGCTACGCTACCCTACGCAGTGCGTTCCCAGCTCCCTGTGCATGCTTGCAAGCAAATCTGCAGTGTGGGATCCCCAGTTTTTAGGCAGGGATGCTCATGGGGGCTGTAACCTGCCTGTGCTCCTGCTTGGCCCATCAGGCAGTGCCGGCACATCCTTCTCCGGGAAAGTTGCGGCAAGGAGGGGAACTGGCAGTGCTGCTCCAGCATCAGTGAATGACGCAGCTTCTCTGCCCTCCAGATGGTGAATGAGATCTGCCTGAGCGTGCAGAAGCATGTTGACATCCTCAGCGCCTGCCCAGGCAAGGAGGTGGACGCGGACGTCCTCTGTGCGGAGGCGGCTATCAGAAATCCCAACCTCTCTGTCAGTGTGAGTCTGCCACACAGGGAAACCCCTCAACTTGCCTGGCTTTGACTCAGGATTGAAAGGGGGTTATTGATTAGTTAATGACATAATTAACTGGCAGTCGGGGAACACCAGGAATTGTCGATGCAACGGATGCACGTCACCAAGCACTTGCAAAATGGTAAAGAACAGCTGTGAATTTCTGAATCCCCTTCTAGAACAAGGCCTAAAATGTTCCTAATTCCCCTCCCCCCAGAGGCACACAGTTGTGTGCACACCTCCTGGGAAGTGGGGGTTACAAGCACATACCCTCTTCAGCAAGGGCACCTCCTGCTCATGCGCACCTCGTTGGGAGAGGTGGGTGCTCCCGTTTTGGGCACACTCTGCAACCCATGGATGCCCACACTAGTGAGAGACACTCCTCGCACCCCTGAGAGGGCCCTCCTTGGGGCACCCTCATCTCACCCCAGCTGGGTGCAGCCTGGTGAAAAGGATGCTTCATCTGCCCATGATGAAGGCCATTGCATTGCCTGGGCAGCTCCTGGCACTGTCAGCCCTGGTTTGATCCTCCTCGTCCCACTTCTCTCTCCCCATTGCACCTTCTCCTCCCTCTTCTATACTTCTCTTCAACCTACCTCCTTCTTCTTTTTCCCAAGTTTATTGGCACCCACCTGAGTACTTAATCTGGCAGAGACAGAGAATGGTGCTGATGGTGGAAAGGTGGTGAAAGGGATGGGAAAGGCTCTCCTCTGATGTGGGCAGCAGTGTGACTGGGCACAGTGGGAGAAGGAGGGTCAGTGGGTAGTGGGGAGCAGTTGGGGGTCTGGCTAGGGGGACACATGGACTGCAAGGGGCTAGGATGCTAAACCCTGGCCCAGCAAAGCCAGAAGGTCACTGAGTCTCCCTGGCTGATGCAGGCAATGCTCTTCCATGGTGCAGTCATGGATGCAGGCTGTGCATGGAAGGATGGAAAGCAAGGATGAGGTGCCATGGGATGATCCACATCGTCTCTCTTCCCATGGCAGATCCTGCCCCTCTTATACGAAGTGGGAAATACCCCGTACCAGAACAGCAAGCTGCAGCACAAGCTGGAGTGTCTCACAGAAGAAGCGTCGCAGACCTGCGGCCAGGAAATCCAGGTGGGCACCCAGGGAACTGCTGACAGCACGGGATGCTCACCGGCCTTGGACCAAGGGTAAGGGGCATGGTGTCTCCGGGGAACATGTGAATCCTATTAGAAAAGGCACCTCCCTTTTTCTCCCCAAACTTCAGGCGATCATGCAGGCAGTGCTGGACACGGCGCACAGCCTCTGCCCAGACGTGGTGCAGAAGAGTGGGGTGAGGGACCAGCTGATCAACGCCATGTCCGAGAAGATCTACCTCCAGGACCACCTCAACCTCAGCACCGTCCTGGACCAGATGGTCACAGATGTCTTCAGCAAGCTGAAGTGGGTGGCGCGCCGTTCTTCCTTCTTGTTCGGTGGCTGGCACTCACTCACAGGGCCAGATGGGGATTTTGGGGTCTCCCTACCAACTGCTCCCCTCCCCACATGCTGGTGGTGTGCTGGGTTCTGCTGCTGCATTTTCACAGCTGTAGCTTTGTTTCCCACTTGGATCTAGTTTGGATGTGTCCCTAGGGAGTTGGGAGGTCCCATGGAGTGTTGCTCCTGCAGGCACATCCCCATGGCTGGCAAAGGGGATCCCTGAACATTAGTGGGGGATGCACTCTGCATCCTCCATCCCCGCCAGCACCTGCTCCCATTCCTTCTCTGGCAGCACGCACCCAGTGAGCCAGAGCCCAGGGCATATCCTGGGTGCCCCTCTGGGTGCCAGAGCCGAGCATCCATCTTCCCAGAAAGGTTCACCCTGGGGAGGCCTGGCCCCATGGCTTGCAGGGGCTGTGGGTGCTGACCATGACCCTCTCTCTGCTCCCAGTGAAATCAAGCTGTCAGTCACAGCCGCTGTGGCCGACTGCATTGTGGATGCCGTGCTGGGAGACCTGACCATCGCCCAGTGCAAACTGGTGAGCACTGGGGGCTGCCAGCACCTGCGGGATGGGGATGTGGGGCTGAGCTGCAGGATGGGTGTCTGGGTACCTTGGAATTGCCCAGGCACCAGCTAACGCGATGACCACAGATTTGTTGTTTGGGAAGCAGGACAATTCCCACCCAGGCTGGTTTTCCTCCCAGGTAATCCTCTTCCAGTGCGGTCACAGCAGCACTAATGTCCTGAGTGAAGTCCAGGAGCTGCTGTGTGGTGGGGGTGCCAGGGGTGAAGCCGGGCACCGGCCACTCGTACACCAGGGCAGGCGCGGGGCAGCTGTGCTGGGGCCAGCAGCCAGCTAATCAGGCCTAAATCCGCTCGCAAATCCCAGCCGTGGGTAGGGAGCAGAGCAGCACTGAGCATGCAGGGCAGCCGGGCGTGCTTCAGCCCCTGTGATAATTTAAGCGCTTCCTAATGGTTTTAGGCGGAGAGCCTCCCCAAGCAGGGGCTCGACCTCCCGGTGCTGCTGCAGGAGCCGGCTGAGGATGATGTCGCTGTGCTGGCGAGGGGCAGGAATCCTCCGGACCTCACCACGGAGGAGGTAAGGTCTGACCCCACTGCCGCCGTGTGATGCCTGTGTTACAACCGCCTTTTATCGGCCTTATCGGATGATGCTGGGCTTAATGCCACAGACTCTCTGGGTGCACACACCCCCGGCACCCTCCCAGGGCAGCGGTAAGACAATTAGTGCTAGGTAATGGGACCGTTAGCCTGCCCGGCAATGCTGCCCGCCCTGCTGGCACCAGGAGTGTGTCCTTGTGGTGGCCTGGGCTGGTGCTGGCTGCATACAAGCCCTCTGGCCAGCCATTGCTTTGGCATCTGGGATCCAGTGCAGCGTGGGGTCCTGGCTGGGAAGGCATCCGATCTGGCATCACAGGTGGTTTTGGTGCCAGACTGAGAGGGTGCAGCCTTGGGAGTGGTGGAGAGATTGTGCCCATCGCTGGGCAAAGTCTGGCTGGCTTCAGTTGCCGTGGGATGCCACTCGCCACGGCCAGCTTGTCAATGCCGAAGCCACCACCATCCCTCTCTTCCTGCAGTACAAGATGGCCCTGCGGAGGAAAAACAAGCATTTCAGGAGTGTTCGGCCCACGCCAACTGTGAGAAGTAAGGTCACCACATGGCTTTCCCTCTGCCGTGGCTCAGTGTGTGCCATGCCACCTCTGCCAAGGCACAGCAGGGGTGGGGGGGCTCACAGCAGCAATCTGGGGAGGCTGCTGGGCAGAGCCCTCTGCAGTGATGCTACAGGACATGACCCCTTTGGAGAGCCTCTCCCAGTGCTGTGGTGAGGGTCTGCAGGGAAAGCTCACCTTGAGCTTGTTCTTGGGCTCTTTTTTGGGGGTCAGCTGGCTCAGTGCCCATGGGCAGCGGGTTAAATGAGCTCCCTCCCCACATAGCCAGGCAGGGGTGGGAGGTTTGTCCATGACTGCAGATGCCATGGCATCTCCCCCTGCCATCCCAGGGACCACCCTGGGCATGGACATCACTGATCCACCTAGTGCCCATGGGGACCTGGCACAGGGGAGAAGTTGCCTGTGGGTGCTCCCGCTCCTGCTGCTGAGCTGCACCAGTCTCTCTGCTGCTGGGCTTGTCCCGCGGAGCCCTGCATGCCTGGGGTGGGCTGGGGGCAATATGCAGCTGATGGGTGACTTCTGCCTTTTGGGGCTTTGGCTGAGACGCATATTTGGCTTTGGCTGAAGCAGAGCTCACACCAGACCCCAGCACCTGGCACCCAGATGTCCCCAGGGGACCCCTGGTCTCCCCGAGCCCAGGAGCATCCTGACTTCTGATGTTTCTGAGCCCATAGGCATCCTGACCCCTACCCAGAGGGTA